TCCTCCCTGTAGAAAATCAATAAAATATATATATTTTTTTAAAAAGAACAAGTTGTGATTGTCATTAGGTAGTTTCATTTACTTTGAGCAAGTAAAGCAGACTGGATTCCCAACCAAAGCTGTCTCCTTGAAGGAAGGCTTAGTCCAGTGATGGCGAACCTATGACACACGTGTCAGAGGTGACACGCAAACTCATTTTTTTGGTTGATTTTTCTTTGTTAAATGGCATTTAAATATATAAAATAAATATCAAAAATATAAATCTTTGTTTTACTATGGTTGCAAATATCAAAAAATTTCTATATGTGACATGGCACCAGAGTTAAGTTAGGGTTTTTCAAAATGCTGACACGCAGAGCTCAAAAGGTTTGCCATCACTGGCTTAGTCATTGCTTACAGACATTATTTGTTTACTTACATGTTGATTTCTTCTTTGCATTGGCTAAACTTATCAGTTGTGGTTAGAGTCAAGTTCATCTAGCCAGAATAGGATTTAGTAAGAATCACCCAGACCTTGGGACCCTTGTACTATCTAACACTTGCAAATTTGGTTAAGATTGTGAATCAATTTTAGAGGACCCAAACTCAATTCTGATTTTATACAATGAATTATTGATACCATATGCTGCTTAAAACTACTTCAAATGAAACTTAACACCAGATTTTAAGTCATCAGACTTTTGAAAAGGCTGCTTTTTGTAATCAGATGTATTAATAGGAAGTAACTTCTTCAGGTAAAAATTCAAAATAACCCAGCTGGTGTGGCTCAGTGGTTGAGTGTTGCCCTATGAACCAGGCGGTCACAGTTCCCCATTAGGCCACATGCCCAGGTTGAGGGCTTGATCCCCAGTGTGGGGCGTGCAGGAGGCAGCCAATCGATGATTTTCTCTCATCATTGATGTTTCTATCTCCCTCTCCCCCTCCCTTTCTGAAATCAGTAATAAAAATATATTTTTTAATTTTTTAAAATAATTGAGGACACATTTGATTTTTTATATCTCTGTTTCTAGGATATTTATTACCTCTTCAATTTATATTTGATAAACACTTAACCTATAATAACTTATATGCTCATTCAGTGATATGATTTTTCACTTTCAAATTCAGGAAATGTATTCATATCCATTGCTAAAGTTTTCCTTTAATCAAACATACTTCCAGAATTTATTGCTCTAATTTGTTATAAGCAAAGAGATAGGCCTTCTATTAAGCACATAGCTTTGTACATAGTCATGGGTTTTTTATTGTACACCTTTTTTTCTACTTAGTTCAAAACAACATCCTATACAGATAAGTTGCATAAAAATTTGTAATCTGTTTTTGCTTTCTATTTCAGTATAGTGTATTTTGTCATCTGATATTTTATGTTTTAATGTTTGGCAAACATCTTTGTGTGAAGTGCCTTGATTGCATTTCATCTTGATGCCCCTCAGGATTCGTATGTTTGTTTTAAAAATATTTTTTTATTGATTTCAGAGAGGGATAGAAACATCAATGATGAGAATCATTGATTGGCTGCCTCTAGTACACCCCCTACCAGGGATCGAGCCTGCAACCTGGGCATGTGCCCTGACCAGGAATTGAACCCGCAGCCTTCACATATCGGAACGATGTTCTAACCAGCTGAGCTATCCAGCCAGGTGTGCATGCATTTTAAACTGGGATAGCAGAGAAAGCAAATTTCTATTTATGCTTCAAGACCCAGATCTAATGTTGTCTATGATAGTGCAAAATTCCAGACCCTCTCTCTTACTCAAGCACTAGGTCCTCAATTATTAGACCTCTCACATTTCACACATCTATTTATGAATCTCTTTCATCACTCTGAATTATTCAAAGGTAAAGGCAATATTTTATCATCATTGCATCCACATCTGATCTTTAATAATTATTGAATTAATGAAAATATAAATTACTTTTTAGAGCAAAGGCTTTGAGAAACTGACAGATCCAGGTTTAGTTCCTAGGTCTTTCACTAACCAGCAATGAGACCTTACTAGTATATGACCTCAGGTACATTGCCTAAGCTTTCTGACATTCAGCTTTTTCATCACCTATTCTAAAGAGTTGTTGTGAATTTGGAAGACTGTAACATCCCTAGCACACTGCCTAAAGCATACTGAAATGCTCAACTCTTTGGTGCCATACTGAATATGCTAATGCTAAGTTGGTTAATAAAGATTACTGAAAACAGTGCACTATCTCTAAGGTTGTTCTGTGCTTGTTTCCAGGACCACGCTGGATATGCCGGCACCAATACATAAGGTTGATTCCATGCTTAATGCAGGAAATATTCAAGATGAATGGTGAACATGTTATACCAGATAACTAAGGAAGATATTAAACACAAGATTTTCAGTATCTAGTTTTCACATGAAAAAACATTTTTAAACTCAAATGAACAAGACTCCTAAGCTAAAATAGAATCGATTATGGTAGACCAATAAAAAACAACCATGAAAGCTCAATAAAATCTCTCTCATCGATGTTTCTAACTCTCTATCCCTCTCCCTTCCTCTCTGTAAAAAATCAATAAAATATATATTTTTTTAAAATTACCAGGCATATCAACAGAGTGGACCAAATGACCAGAAACTAAGGAGAAAAACGACAATAGAAAGAGATCTACAGATAATCTAAAGCATGGAGTTATTAGACAAGAAGTTGTTTTTCTTTTTTAAAATATGTATTATTGTTTACAGAGAGGAAGGGAGAGGGTCAACGCTCAACCACTGAGCTACACCAGCTGGGCAAAAACGCAGTGATTTTTTTACATGAGACATAGTTTTACATATTAAGCCACTGAGACTTAGGGGTTACTTTATTCCTTTAGCATAAGCCAATCCTATCCTAATAAAATATGCAAAAATAATTTTGTAAGTAGACCCCTGTACTTCATACAACATACAAAAATCAAACTCAGGTGAATTAAATTCATAAATGAAAAAGACAACATTATAATGCTTTTAGAAAAGAATACAGGAAATATTTTCATGATCTTAGGGTATGAGAGAATTTCTTAAACAAGACATAAAAAGCATAAATCAAAAAGGGAAAACTTGATAATTTGACATAAAAATTAAGAACTATTCGTCAAAAGAACTAAGAATAAAAAGACAAACTAGAAAAAATATATAATTTGCAAAACATATAACCAACAAAGAGCTTGTGTCCATAATATATTAAAAATTCCTATGAATCACTAAGAAAAAGACGTGAATAGACACTTAAAGAAACCTAAGGACTAATAAACGTAAAACAAAGGTGTTCAGTGTCATTAACAATCGTGTTAAAATTAATACTATGCAAGTAATAAGCTGACTAAAATTCAAAAGTCTGACAATACCAGATAGTGGAGAAGGTTGGGGTAATAAGAACTCTCATTTACTCCTGGTGAGAAAGGACACTGAAGCTTGGAGGAGATTAAGTGTTGACACCAGATCTAGTACTCAAGGTCAGGGTTTTGCCACTAAAGTACTTATTACCCAGAGTCTACCTCCACAGAGGAGAGGCATAGGAAATAGTGAACTTGATAAAAGCTCCCATGTCTTAAAAAAATACTCCAAATAAGGCACTTTAAGGCTTCTGGCAGGGACATTTTATTTTTTTTGGTTAAAGCCACATTAATAGAAATGCATAAAAACAAACATGTAAACAAGGTATCAGAACTTTGGTTCACTGAAACATCTCACACCTAAAGCATCTGAGGTACAAAGGCACCTTGCTAGGTGCCAGACAGCCTGACTGCTGCACCCACTCTGACCCGAGATGGCACCGGCTGACCAGAAAGGCTGGGACCGAGGTCACCCAGGACTTTCCCCTATCCTCTTGGTCTGCTCCAGCAGACATTCACTTCTCCAAAGACCCGCCTGACAGGGGCTGGAACATACAAAGGTGTTTGTCACGTTGAACTTGAAGACAAAAGGCTGTGGGACCAGGAAGAGGATGGGCAGAAAAGGATGTCAGTCAACTTCTGTTGATCCACATGGCCTCAAGAACTCCTGTCCTCGTTCATGGAACCACTTATTGGAGACTGTGAACAGATAAAAACTATTTTACAATCCTATTGGTTAGGTCAGCCCCCCCCCAAATTAATGACTCCTTCAGGATGAATCCTACACTGGACCCGCGATTCAGATGTATGACATGGTCTCAGGTATCAAGTTACTCAGGAGCTAGTGAGGAAGACATATGTATAAACAGATCATTGTACAAAAGTCTGTCAGTGACAGAAGTTACATGTGTGTAAGGTTGCCATAGAAACAGAGCCAAAGGGCATTTAACCATCTGAGGGAAGGAGACCACAGAGCTGGGCATGAAGCTGAATAGGAGTTATCCAGGGAAGAAGATGGACAGACCATGATGGTTCCTATATCAAGGGGGTCCAGGAAGTGAGAACAAGCTGAGAAAGACATCAAGGTTTGAATCACTCTGGTGTGTGATAAGGACCCCAGCCAAGTTGATATTATTGAAAATTGGTAGGTAGGAACTGAGAGATAGGAGAAGAGGGAGAGGAAGCTTGTCAAGATGGTGGAGGGCCTGGATGTCAACCTCAGGAGCTGTGTGCCAGTGGATCCCATATGTGTGCTTGTGGGTAGCCAAGCGGTCAGCTAAAGCTGTGTCTCAAATTCGCATGAACCGTGATTTCATTTCTCAACCAGTCTCTTTCTTTCACAATGAATACAACAAATTTATTCCAATGCACTACAGAATACATAGAACATTTTAAATATGTTAACGTAAGGTAATACAGGTACTTGGTTTAAAAAAATCAAATTATTGCCCAGCGGGTGTGGCTCAGTGGTTGAGCATCGACCTATGAACCAGGAGGTCATTGTTTGATACCTGGTCAGGGCACATGCCCAGGTTGCAAACTCAATTTCCAGTAGGGGGACGTGCAGGAGGCAACCGATCAATGATCCTCTCTCATCATTGATGTTTTCTCTTTCTCTCCCTCTCTGAAATCAGTAAAAATATATTTTTTAAAAATCAAGTTGTCTACAAAGCTTATAATGATAAACAGCAATCTTCTTCCTACCCCTTCCCACTACTAATCCCCCCTTCCATTAGACATTCAACTTCTTCACTTGTCTTCTGATATTTATCCTCATTTTTCTAAATAACATGCTTATAGTGCTATTTCTTGACTTTCAATTTTAGAATTCTTTTATATTACCTCTAAAACACATACTTATTACCTTCTATATACTTAATATAATTAAATCACAGGTTTTAGTTACATTAATATTCAGTATTTACATTGTTATATCATGTAAATATTGCTCACACATGAGCCACCTAATAGATTATACTTATATTTCCTTTTTTTTTCTTTTTTTATATATATTTTATGGATTTTTTACAGAGAGGAAGGGAGAGGGATAGAGAGTTAGAAACATCGATGAGAGAGAAACATCAATCAGCTGCCTCCTGCACACTCCCTACTGGGGATGTGCCCGCAACCAAGGTACATGCCCTTGACCAGAATCGAACCTGGGACCCTTGAGTCCGCAGGCTGACGCTCTATCCACTGAGCCAAACCGGTTAGGGCATATATTTCCTTTCTTGTGCAACTTTTTTTCCCCCTGGTCAGCAATTGCCTCGATTTTTCATTTTCATTTGCTCAATTTTCTGTGAACCTGTCATTATCTCCAAAACTCCCCAGGAAGGCTATAAACTCATCTCTTTCTGATCACTTCCTGTCACACGCTGGTTCAGGCCTCTCCATGGCTCACCACAGCTGCTTGCTCAAGCTTCAGCCTCTGTGGTTTGGTCCCAGCCTCCAGCCTCATCTCTTGGTCCCTGTGCCATAGGCCTCCCCTTATCCAAGTGACAAAGGAAGCCAGTTCCCACACCTTTGGTGCTGGTTTTAGGCTGTGCCTTGTCCCGCATGCCTTGCTTGCCTGGGACACCCCTTCCCCACTTTGATTCCAGTTGTCCCCCAGGGCCCCCTCTGAACCCTTGCCAGAGTCCATCGCTCTGGGGCGCCATCCTGGACCTCTGATGCTTGTCTAGCTATTCTTTCTCAGAGCTCCCTCAGCTCTCTTGGCATCCCTGAGAGTGGCCTCAAATAGTTGTCTTGGCACAAACCCAGCTGAATGGTTGGGAGGGACTATCAGCAGGATTTAAAAAAAAACAAAAACAAACTAACAAAAAAACACAACCACACACCCTGGCTCCTGCTTCTGCCCAAGACATGCCTTGTATCGTAAGTTCCCCTAATATACTCTTGATATAATGGGGGGGGGGGGACTCAAAAGGTGGACAGTGTGGCTTTGTGAAACTCTGGCAGCAGTTGTCTCCCGGCTCAGAGTCTAAGGACGACCACTAAAGCCTGCCGAGGCCACCAAGGCCAGCACCACTCCTTAAGCCACTCACCCCACTTGCAGCCCACAAGCACAGGGCAAGCTGCGTGTCTCGTTCGGTAGTCACCTTCCCCACTCCGCAAGAGGTTGTACCAGAATACTGCTGTGCCCTGGGAAAGAGAAACAGCCTATCAGACAACATCCTTAGAGACTGGGCTGGAGAGCCTGACTCTGAGCACCCCAAAGCCCCTCCCTGAGCAGACACACCCTCTCTTTCCCGTGTACAGGGAGACAGGGCTCTGGGACTCCAACGAGAGAAAAGTTCCCCAGAAAGCACCTAC